TAAATCTTGTGTTTTAAATTATCCGTTTCTAATTTATTCTGGTATTATTCAAACCAAACTGTAAATGATTACCAACTATAAATAATCAGTATAATTTTTTTTAAGTTTTAAATTATTCGTTTCTAATTTATTCTGGTATTATACAAACCAAACTGTAAATGATTACCAACTTTAAATAATCAATATCGATTTTTTTAAGAATCGAATATTGTAAGCTCCCATTTTTTGGTTGGCATGCTTGGTGCAATAAGTCTGGCAAATGTCAAAATGTATTTCTTAGATTTGGTTGACTATAATTGTATGTGATACATTAATACTGCCTCGTTGGTCTAGTGGTTGTAGTAGTGCGACTACTGATTATGAGGTCCTGGGTTCGTATCCCGGGTCGGGCCAAAAAATCAATTATTGAGTTTTTTTGTCAAGAAATTCTCAGTAGCTGCCCGGAGTAAGGAAGTTGGCGGAGTCTCACCCCCGTGCCTCGGAAAGCATGTAAAGCCGTTGATCCTGCGCCTGATATCTCTCCGGTCGTGTCGGTTTACCGTCCCATCGGGTTATGAGAGTGAGGGAATAGAGAGTAGACCTGTGCTTGCATATACTTGGGCACTATAATCCTGTCCTGCGCTGTATCCTAGCCTCCGTTGAAGCAGGCAGCCGTGGCCGAAATGTGTTCTGGAGGACATTATTATTATTATTATAATACATACATTATTAATATATACGTGGTAGTGTCTGCTCCAGCTATATTATAGTTACAGCACGAATTGTTCTGTTCGATCGGGCAGGATTATCGAAATCTAATGAAATACCAGCGAAAAACAGCTTATTGTTGCCATATTTTATATGATGGGTGTAGAGAACTTCATACATTTTTACTGAAAACGAGGCATTTCGTCTTAGTCTTCAGGGTTAAAAACACATCTGTATTTTAAATCTAAATCGAGTAATCAAGTCACAGCATCCACATACAATCAGGTGGACTGTGCGTTCTTATGCCACACTTATTCTTTAAAAAATATTTTCACACGTTAAAGAAATAAATATTTATAAATTAATTTAATTCTGTCAATATGCACTTGAGTAGCGTTGTTCCACAACACTCTCAAATATGAGGATAATTTTTAGTTGTGGAATGATCTAGGCTTTAAGTTTACATATTTTTAGATGGATTTATTCAATCAAAACACGTTGGCACTTCGAGAAAACGTTCGCATATTCCTAGATCATTTCTAAAAAATTTTAAACTTTATTAAGTTGATAGCATTTAAGTACCAGTCGCATATTAGAATTAAATTCTTCTGGGATGTAACTACGATTGCTATACTTAATTCTAAACTTTATAGCTGTATATATGAAAAACAATCCATATTTGTACAGGGCCATTTATAAATAATTAGTCTAATAATATTGTATAAGTCCACACTTCCAATTGGGTACAAATTATAATATATTTTATAAATATGATATAACTACTATTACTAGGTACTACTAATAAAGTATAATAGTATAAAGTAAACATTACATGTTTGTGTTTGTTAAGGCGCTACCTCCAGCGAACGACCTTGAGCGTTTGGTCTGTCGACGCTCGCTACAATATATCGCGTAAGAAATCGCCAAAAGACGCCACCTACTGCTACGAACGTAGTATTATTTTTTCAATGTCAATGAACTCTTCTATGGAAATAGACACGGCGTACAATGATAAATGTATTTTAATTTTCTTTATTCGGTATATTAGTTGCATTATATTAGAATAATGTGTTCTAATATATTATCTAATTAATAAAAATGACTATTTTGATTATTTTTAACTATATACTATACTGCTAATATTGAATTAGCTTTTTATAGTGTAAATTATAATATTTGTCGAAATATTAATTATGGATTCGAACTTTACATGCTAATGGTGCTTCATTTTTGTTATTTTCATTTACTTACACATTGAAAATATACTTGAATAGTAGTTATTATTATTTTATTTAGCTACTGAATTTTAGGATATGTTTTACCTTGAGGTCAAATATAATTTTGAGGAGCAATAGTTATTACCTACTAATCTTTTATCTGCTATTCCTTATTTAGGAACAATATTAGTAAATTGAGTTTGAGGGAGATTTACTGTTTATAATGCTACATTTATTATTTTAATATTTACCTACTGGGTAGGTAATTATTAAAATAATAAATATAGCATTAGTAACTAAATAGATATTTTTTTTAAATTTTTAAAATTAAAATTTTCGTATTTTTAAAAATTACTAAAAAAAAGGGTTTGAAATAATAGATTTTCTCACAAAAGAAGGGAACTTGAAAAAAAAAAGGAAAAAAGCGGGACCAAAGCCAAGACGCGAACCACGGAACTCCGATATCACGCCCGACCGACATACCACCTGAGCTATAACGACCGTTAAAGATTAGTCGAAATTTACCTTCTTATATTGTAGCAGTTTTTTTTATTGCTTGAAAACATGGACAAAAGGACATTTTCTAAAAATAAATCCAAGCGTTCGTCGCTAAAATCGTTGGAGCCGTATAATTTTCTCATCTGGTTCGGTTATATAAATATTTAAATATATAAAAATTATAAATTAAAATGAAAAGATAAATATACATTAATATCAATAAAATAAAATAAATACAAAATAATATTATATTATTATTGTTATTATTATGGGGGTATCAATATAATCTTCTCATCTGGTCGGGTTCTATAAATATATAATTATAAATGGAAATGAAAAGATAAATATACATAAACATCAATAATATAAAATAAATACAAAAATACATACATAAATAAAAGCCCAACCAGATGGAGGCCCTCGGCAGGGGAGACCAAACGGCCGAGGGTTAGGGGGAAAGGGAAAGAAACCGGCGGACGATGCGGGCGGTATCGAGGAGCACCGCCTTCTGCATTTGAGCCTGGAGCGGTCCGCCACGTAGTCCCAGCCGCCTCAGATGACCCGAGAGGCTGACTGGGATTAGCCCGTTTGCAGAGACGACTACAGGAATAATTTCGGTCGGCAGACCACCCCACATGTCGGTCACCTCGTGAGCCAGGTCCAGATATTTTGTTTGCTTATCTGTTTCGGCTTTCACGAGGTTCTCGTCACACGGAATGGTAATGTCGACCAAAAATATCCTTGACTGTGCCCGGTCCATCAGCACAATATCAGGCTTATTCGCAAGAATAGTCCTGTCTGTGATGATGGCCCGGTCCCAATAGAGCCTGGCGCGATCATTTTCGAGCACGGCTTCCGGCAAGTACTTGTAATACGGCAATTCCCGATCCACGAAACCGTATTTCAGAGCGAGCTCCTGGTGTAGAATTCTGGCTACTAGGTTGTGCCTGTGCAAGTACTCAGAGTTAGAAAGCGCCGAACAACCGGAGATGACATGCCTAAGTGACTCACCGGGATGGCGACAAGCTCGACAGATGTCGATGGTGCCATCCTTTAGGATGTATCTCCGATAGTTGTTGGTCTTAATAACCTGATCCTGTATTGCACAGACAAAACCCTCGGTTTCCCCCGAAGAGGTCACCAAAGCGTAGCCAGTGGAGGGAGGTTACTGTGTCTACGTAAGGCCCATGTAGAGACTTGTAGAACCTCCCGTGGAGCTCCTTCTCCTTCCATACGGTCTTCCGATCGGAAACTGTATGCACTGCCGGGTTTTGCCATTGCTCGTGCTAAGGATAGAGGGGTAAGTCCTTTATCACAAGAAATGACGTCCTTATAGAATGGATCTTCCGATCTCGCCAGGAAGTAATTACGGAGGCTGCACACTTCGCGATTATGCATGGTGAGCGCGCTCAAGAAGCCACGCCCACCATGCTTTCGCGGCAAGTACAGCCTCATTACCGACGATCTCGGATGATGCATCCTGTGGGACGTCATGGTAGTGCGGACTTTTCTATCCAGGGCGTTAAGTTCAGTCTGAGTCCATCTGAGTATGCCAAAGGTGTACATGAGGACAGGCATGACCCAGTCGTTATATGCTTGTGTCTTATTCACACCGGACAAAAGGCTGTTAAGCACTTTGGGCAAGCGTGCATAAAACACGTCGCAAACTGACTGTTTCATATCAGCCTCATCGATACCGATGTTCTGTGACATACCCAGGTATCGGTATGTTTCAGCCTCGGAAAGGGTCCTTAAGTTGACGGGCATAGATAAGTCTATGCCCTCAGAGTTAGCAACCCTACCCCTCTCAACATGGAGTACCGCACACTTATCCGTCCCCAGCTCCATTCCAATGGAATTGCTAAATTCACAAGTGATGTTTAGCAATTCCATAAGATGGGAGCGACTGGAGGCGAATAACTTGATGTCATCCATATAGAAAAGGTGGGTCACTTTTGTCCCTTCTTTCCGTAGCTGAAATCCCCTCCCGGAGCCCTCCAGTAAGGTACTGAGAGGGTTCAGAGAGAGGCAGAACCATATTGGACTCAGACAATCGCCCTGGAAGATACCCCTTCCTATCCTTATGTGGTTCTCCGCAGCCGTCATCCGCTCGCCCAGATGACAAAGGATCGTACTCCACTGCCCCATACACTGCTCGAGGGAAGTCTCTAACTGTACAGTCTATCTTGTACAGTTCGAGGACTGTCTTTAGCCATGTATGGGGCACCGAGTCGAATGCCTTTCTGTAGTCTATCCAGGCGGCGGAGAAGTTCCGACGTTTCACCACTTTGCCAATGACCGCGTCAATGAGGAGTGGTTCCTTGGTTCCACGACCACCGCCCCGACATCCATTTTGAGCGTGCGACATCACCTGATTTGAGTCCAGGTGACGAGTGATTCTCGCGCTCAAAATGGATGTTAGTGTCTTGTATATGGTCGGTAGACACGTGATGGGGCGGTATTTGCTCGGGTCTGTGGTACTCTGGCCTTTAGGAACCAAATGGGTGATCCCAGTAGTGAAGAGGCTCGGGAGCGACTTCTGGTTGAGAGCCTCTTGAAACTGTCGGGCGAGCACAGTGTGACACACCACGAACCCCTTCAGCCAGTAGTGATGCAGCCCGTCGAGTCCCGGACTTTTCCAGTTCGGGGCCTATGGACCGCCTCAGCTACGTCATCCGGCGTTATGGTGACGGGATCCATGGGCGTAATACTCGCACACTGACTCGCCACAACTTCCATCCAAGGGCCCTCGTTGTGGTTTACGGGCTCTGACCACAGGCCGCGCCAGAATGCAACCGTGTCGGCCTGATTCGGTACTGGGCCCGTTCCACTTACCATTGGTCGCTCCAATGATTTATAGAGCCTCTTCTGATCACTCTGGAAGAGACGATTCTGGTTGAACCGTGTCGACCTCTCGGTATATCGCCGAATTCGCTTTCCCCAAGCAGCGATTCTCTGCTTCAGGTCGTCTATGCGCTCCGTCAGTTTTTGCATTATATCCGGCTGGGACAAACTAACATTTGTCCCAGCAAACGCCATCCTGACGGTGCGCACAATCCTTGGCCTGGTATTGCCTGACCTGAAGCATATCAGTCTGCCGATGAGGGCCCTAGCCTTTGCGATACGTTCTTCAATTCTTGTTCTCCAGGCTGGGATAGCACTACTTTGTCCAGTAGTGCGTCCAGCCGTGGAAAGTTTGGCACCTATAATACGGCAGACTGCCAGTGCGGCGCCAAAGAGAATTGAGTCCGTCTCGCAAAGGTCCCGGCTGGCTTCCAAATAGGTCACCAGCATTGGGTTCAGAGCCCTCACGACAGCCCGATTCCGCTTGCTTAGGGCTATGCGGGGAAGTCGCGGTCGATTTTCGAGAGGCGTACTGCGCGTTTCCATAATCGCCTCTTCCAATGTACTCCTCATTTGCTCTATTTCTAGTTCCTGGGTGAATGTTCCATCATCATTTGAATCAGCAACCACTGGGGTATTCACGGCGGCATCCACATGTGCGGGTTGTTCTGCAACTTGTTCTGCAACCGCACCCTCAGTCGTAGCGTTTTCATTTGATGAGGGAACAGCCTCACGTCGTAGCCGTTCGAGTTCGGCGGCATCAAATATATTTGAGCGTAAGATATACCGAACTCGGTCTGCCAGGTTTTGCTCGGTGACGGTAATAGATGGCTCCAGCTCAGTAAAAAGAACGATGCATCCTAGCCCGATACGCGAAACCTCCAATTTCTCCCCCTTTCGCCCTAAAATACGCCCGCAATGCGTTTGTATTCATATTGATGGTCCATCGCATGCGGCGTACTCCACCAGTGGCGGGTGCCGATTGCTGGGTCTGCGAAGACCCTGCCGACACCAAGCAAGCTGGTGGGGATGATGGATGCGAGGGGCTGCTGGGTGGTCGTGCAGCACCAGCTCCAGACGCGCCCTGGCGACCTCCAGGCAGCGGCCCTTTGCGCAATCTTCTTTGTTCCATCATCCATACAGGGCGTCATTTAACGGGAGACGCCCAGACCCGGCGCCGTTTCATGGTGAGGCCATATGCACAAGCGGGCCCTTGCACCATCAATTTTTGCCAAGGCACGGCGCTCACACCTCTTGGCAAGGTGCTGACTGACTGCGCGGACGTAGCGGTTTTGTCACATAACCGTCACGTCAGCGGGCGATGGGGTCGTCACTTCCCTACGCCTTTTTGTAAATAATAATATAATAATAATACTAATAAATAATAATATAACAATAATAATATAATAATAATAATATTCCACAATTATCACACAACGTCATCTAGTCCCAAGCTAAGCAGAGCTTGTGTTATGGGTACTAGACAACTGATAAACATACTTATATATTTCTAAATACATAAATATTATAGATAAATTACACCCAGACACAGAACAAATGATCGTGCTCATCACACAAACATTTGTCCTGGGTGGGAATCGAACCCACGACCTGCGGCATAGCAGTCAGGGTCACTAACCACTAGACCAACAGGCCTGACGATAAATAAAATAAAGTCTCTAGCTCGAGAGGAGAGGAGCCGTGGTAGCTCAGATGGTTAGCGCTTGCTAAAATTTTCACAGTGTGCGAGCAAACCGGGTTCGATCCCCGCCGGCACCAATAATATTGTAACTGCAATTTTAAGTGTTGATTTACCACGTGCTCAGTGGTGAAGGAAAACATTGTGAGGAAACCTGCATGTCTGAGAAATAAGAAAAATAATATTTCGAAGACATGCAAAGTTTGCCAACACGCAGTGGGGCAGCGCGGTGGATAATTCCTTTCCTAGGACCCTTTCAGAAAATAGAATAGAAATAAAAAAAATAATAAATCCAAACTTCATTTAAATCCAAACATATAAATTGTAAAATAGCTGCAGGTATCTATAACCAAGTAAAAGATATTCCTTTACTCCAACTTGTCCATGTTTCCCAAAACAATTTTTAATTAAGCTTTATATTATAATGCGGATTTTTTATATTTAAAATTTTAATAATAAAGCATTTCGTACGTCTCAGCCGAGGCGCAAATATTTTTCGGCCGCAAATTTATAAGACCGATTTGTTATTCAAACATAAACGTGGTTTTTTAATTAAATCTACCAATCATAAAACGACACGCATTTTTATTGAACACTTCCTATTCAATTCACAAAGTACCTATTATATTTGTTCATATAAAAAAGTATATTTAAGTACAATCATAAAGCTAAATGGAAACACAAAGTAGAAAAATGCATTGAGTTATAAAACACATAAATCAATGGGCAAATGTAAAAATGCTGGAGGCAGCAGCCCTATCGCATGTTTACGTACGGCACGGCTGTAATATTTATTTCTAAGATACGGCCGAGTTACAATATACCGTGACTTAAGCGCATCGGTTGGTAGGTACTCAAAAAATATTATGTTTGCGGCGAAATACGGAACGCGGCGACCAGCGACGCGGCCACCTTCTACTAACGCATACAGCGTAATGCCGCCCGCACTCTGCGCACGCCCCTTTATCATAGAAGTCACACAATTTTCGGAATTATTTCAATTAAAAGAGAAAAAACGAACTTAAAAATTTAAATAAAACGTGGAGAATATAGATTTTTTAATTATCTATCCATTAGGTTATCCTCAAATGATTAGAGCGTTGCGTTTAGCAACAGATGCATGTAATCAAGATTTTTAGTCATTTTTTAAAAGTTGATTTTAAATGTATTTATATCACATAAAAATAAATTAGAACGTGTAATGTGATGATAAGATATCGAACATTAATAATGTACTTTTAGATGTAGTTTATTTTTCATAACTAATGAGATAATAGAGTCTGAAAAACGCACTTTCGCAACATTTTGGTCAGGGATTCACCTTAACATTGTATGTTATGTTTTTTACAATATATGCTAAATATATTAAAAATCACTTGATTAATAATTCTGCAGTTATATGTTGTTATACTGTCTTTTGTAAATGGCACCTCGGAAAGAAACGACTCGTTGTTTCTCGTTCTCAGTGATGGATTGTAGCCATACTTCCTGCAGGGGACACTTACGTTAACCGATAATATCCAATTTGTCATTAATCTAATATATTGTACTCAAAACCAAATTGTACTACCGAGTTAAAAATAAGCTCAATTTTATTTGTTTTACAATCTTTTAATACTGGTCAGCAATGATGGCAATAGGTGGGGTATGTAGTTTTTTATATATCTATAATCTACCCTGTTTTACTCTGGTGATTTTTGGATGTCAAAAACAGCGCCATCTAATTGATAAAATTATAAATTGAAATCATTCTCGAATCAACGTAAACACATACAAAACTTAAGCAAAACCTTTCCAGCCGTTTAGAAGAAGTTTAGTCACATAAAGATGGACGAAGAATTTTATATATAAATATTATTATTATTGCTCATAAGCTCCGGAGCACAACCCTCCGTTTTTAAGTTTTAAATTTGATTTTATGGCAAATGCTTTTCGTTCAAAACCGACTTAATTTTCATATAATGTCTGACAAAGGGGCGTGAAAGTTATCACAATCGGGTAATAATTGCTTTATCATTTTTCGAAACCATAGGATCTGACTGGCACTGCCTACAGTTGCTTCTTATAACAGAATGGAACAGAAAGGGCTGAGAGATTCCCTTACTCATTCACGATAAAGTAAAGCCCGTGGATGGCAATGTAACAGTTCAGTAGATATTTTTATTATAATAGGCGAAAAGAAAAATGAAGACTTCTTCCAGACAGTATCGGATCGTCGATTCTCTCTCTCTCTCTCTATCTCTCTCTCTCTCTATCTCTCTCTCTCTCTCTCTCAAATTATTAAAAATTCTAAGTATTGTAAAAGGACTACAGTCATGATTTTTCTTTTCATTTCTTTAGTATAATTTTCTCTTTCTGGTTGTTTATAAAGGGACCCAAATTATTATTTGTAATGCGTATAGGATACCATTGTAAATGTTATTAGGACAAACGTAACACACTCAGCATCCAATATATAAGTGTGCTTTAACACATGTATTGGAACTACCAAAAACCACATCTTCAATAAAAATTAATTTCTTATCTCAAAAAATAAATAAAATCAATTTATAAATGTTTATTTTAAATCTTATTTAAATATTTTTGTGTGATACATTAATTAGTTTAAGGGTTTTATCTCAAGTTTGGGCTGTAAATTCTCATTAACCCTAGATAACTAAACATTCGTCGACGCGACTACGCCCCTCTCCAAGAAAGTCAAGTGCACTTACTTCCCCGCGCCCCGCTCCCGTCCCGCTTTGTTTACCTTCCTGATTGGTGCAAATAGTTCATCGGGTGACGCGGTTGCGATCACGCGATAATTAGGAAGTGATCTACGGCTACATCGTCGTCAGGTTGACGAAAGTTTAGTTACTACGTACGTTAATTTGCAAAGGTATGCACAATTATTTTTTTAATATTATTTATTATTTATACAAGGCTTACTCGAAATATTTCTTTTTACTTTTATTTAAATTGATATATTTTACTATTTAATTATATATTAAGTTATTTATAGCGAAATTAAATATAAAAAAATACATTTTATGAGATATTTCTTTGCTGCCACTAAATATTTGATTCTAAGATTTGCACTTTTTATTATTTTTAAATGGATTTGAGAAATCAAGAAGAGCAGATAAGTAAGTGGCTCGAAGAAGTGGAAGATAAAGATGAGGGTTCGAATGATTCGGCCTCAGAGACGGAGGATAACGTGGAGGAAGCAATACATATCAACACCTCTGATTCCGAATTCTCAAACGAATCTTCAGAACCTGAGGATGACATCATACGACCAAGTAAGAGACAAAGAACTCAAATTGTAGACTCTGATGACTCTTTAGAGGATATTCATGAAACTAATTCTCCTCAAACTTCAATCCAAGGTAACCAGCGTGTTCTTCAAGTAACTCCCCGATTCCTTTATGGGAAAAACAAACATAAATGGTCGTCTGTACCTAGATCAGCTACTACTCGTACTCTGAGACGGAACATCGTACATTTTATACCAGGTCCAAGAGGAGAAGCTAGGGAATTACAGGAACCAATAGATTTATTTCGGCTTTTCATGACTGATGATATGCTGCAACAAGTTGTGACATTTACCAATGCAGAGATTATTACTCAAAGGAATAGATATAAACAGGAGTCTTATACCGTTTCACAGACTAATTTGTTAGAAATAAAAGCTCTCCTTGGTTTGTTACTGATCGCCGCAGCTATGAAGAGCAACCATTTGCCAACTCGCATCCTATTCAATCCTCAACGATCAGGCACAATTTTTGAAGCTTGTATGAGTGCAGAAAGATTCAATTTTCTTATTAAATGTATGCGATTTGACGAAAAACAAACAAGAAATGGCAGAAGAAAAGAGGACAAGTTCACACACATACGTGAACTATGGCAAAATATGATTGACAATTTTAAAAAATGGTATACGCCAGGATCATATATTACTGTAGATGAACAACTGGTTGGTTTTCGTGGAAGATGCCCATTTAGAATATATATCCCTAATAAACCAAATAAATATGGGATAAAGCTTGTTATGGCCGCAGATGTTAACAGTAAATACGTCATAAATGCAATTCCGTACCTGGGAAAAGGAACCGATACCCAAAAACAGCCATTGGCTACATTCTTCATAAAAAACATAACAATTCCTTTACATGGCACCAATCGTAACATAACGATGGACAATTGGTTCACGTCTGTAACTTTGGCCGATGAGCTATTACAGCCACCTTATAATTTGACTATAGTAGGGACTTTGAGGAGTAACAAACGGGAAATTCCTGAAAAACTTAAGAATTCTAGGACTCGCGCAATTGGTACTTCGATGTTTTGTTACGATGGCGACAAACATTAGTTTCATATAAAGCCAAGTCAAACAAAGTGGTTTTTGTGTTGTCCACAATTCATGATCAACCAAATATTGAAGACGCGACAGGAAAACCGGAAATAATTCACTTTTATAACACTACTAAGGGTGCCGTAGACACGGTGGATCAAATGTGCTCGAATATGTGTGTCAACCGAAAAACTAACAGATGGCCATTATGCATTTTTTATAATATGTTAAATCTAGTTAGTATCAATGCCTATGCTATTTACGTCTCGAACGACTTGAGAAATAAGAAGAAGCCGACACTACGACGCCATTTTGTCATGAAGATGGGAGACCAACTTATGGACCCTTGGCTAAGGGAGCGATTACAAACGGTGACTTTGAGGCGTAACATCAAGGTTATGATAAAAGATATTCTTGGTGAGTCATCAGAACCTGAACTCCCTGTTCATTCTGTGACCAATGTGCGTAAAATATGCTACCTATGTCCGTCAAATGATGATCTAGGATGACAAAACATCGATGCAATAAATGCAAAAATGCCATTTGTGGATCGCACAATATTGACGTGTGTAGTAGCTGCGCAGAATAATTATTTATTGTTAAATGTCTTTCTAATCAGTTGCTATTAAACCAAACTTAAGTGCCATGTAAACAGTTCCTATTTTAATAAATACTTTTGATAATTTTCATGTTTTTTATTGTGTAGTCTGCCTGACGAAAGTTTAGTTACTATGTATCTACGAATATAGTTTAGTTACCTAGGGTTAAATTTCAAAATATACGAGCAACTGTACTCTGAGTACGATTCTTGTCAGCAGCACTGATATTATGTCATGTTTTAAAGTACTGATTTATCACGCGCTCGTGTGCTGAAAAGCAAAAGTTTGCGAAGAATTTTGTATGTTTGTGAAATCATAATTATTTCAAGTCATTTTAGTCCACTAAAATGCATTGGTCTCTTAAACCGTTTCAGAAATAAAACCTATGCCCCGATACGGGATACTTATGAGGACCTTTTTAATTTTTTTAGAGTTGATATAAGCGAAACGCTGCATAAGTAATACATCACTTTATTAGAGGCTTCGAATATTCGCACAGTGTTTCCTTGCAGTATAAAGTATCGTGCAGTCGAACAAGAGGAATGAGTGGGTAATCCTACGATCCTCACTGTCGTTATTGTGCCCGTTGGGGAATAACTGTGGTGAAATTATAAAGATAGTTATATTGCAAAGACGCTGTCCTGTATCACATCGTGATAGTCAGACAATATTGCTGTAGGTTTGAATATATAATACTTCACCCATTTTAAAGTTATCGTGTATTTATTTCTAACTTCTGTGTTACATACTTGTTTCATTATTTGTGATATAACATGACATTACTGAGTCCTTTTATTTAAATAATTTTAAGCGTAGAGTCTTATAATATATTATTAATATTAACCGTTATTTTTCTTCGTTATTATAACTTCATCTGTAGGTTTATACTTACCATAAATGTTTAATTTTAATCCCGGAGATTTAATATAGCTCATATTGTAAATCCACGTCAGGGTTGAAACTTGACAGTTTAATTTTGAGCTCTTGGAGCCAATAGAAATTATTTCGTCCATTTGGAACAACGGGAAAACAACAATGTGGTATTTTAAAAGAAACAGTTGTATATTATATTTAAAATTCATGTTATTATATAGATATTGAATTTTCAGTTGCCTTATATTTTTTATGTAAATATTACACCTTCAAATAAAACTTGGCTGGATATGAGGTAACTATGGATCTTTGGTAAGTATTTTTTTATTATTGTCTAATGTAAAATTTAAATTTGCTGAACTTTACCTGTATTTAGACAATTTATTCGTATCTCTATAAAATGTTAATATTTGTTTGTAAAAACTTCAGCTTTATTATATGTGCGCAGTAGAAATAAACGGCTCAAATGACAAAGCACCTCGCCCTCACAGAATTCCAGCTTAATGTTAATATGTTTCGTGCAGTGAGAGACGCAAACCGGAAACACTATGGTAACAAGACACGCATCTTTATTTTGATTTTAATACGTTGTAAAACCATCCATGTAGTGCGAATGGGTTGGTTCGATTGGCGAAAGACTACGCTCTCACAGAATACCAATGTGAAATAGCAGCTCAATGCTGCTGTGTTTCACATGGTGAGTATAGAAAATTGGAGACACTTATTACTGGATCTGTGTCTCTACGAGTATCTGTGTCTGGATCGTTATCTAGAATGCGTTGTCGCCCCTGAGGACACAGATGCAATGCCTCGAATTCCATCTGTGTCCTCAGGGGCGACAACGCATTCTAGATAACGACTAAGAATTGAAATCCGCATTTCAATTCTTAATTGAGGATAGATGTACATTTCAGTGGGCCAATGCATTCATTTACCATAAGGTGGGCTGCGTGCTCACTTCCTATTCCATAAAACAATCTGCATTTATATTTTTAATCCAAGATAGCTGAAGATCAGTTGTCTATGGACCTCAGTAGTGTTGTATATTGCACAATCGCCATTCTTCTTGATGTTGCTGTTGTGATGAAAATTCCTTGTTTAACATTTTTAGCATTCTTCAACAAAAATAAATGTCACTATATGCATTTATTTAATTACCCTTAATTATAATCAATGATCATTTTCTACTAACTTGTCATCCACGAACGGTCATCTATTGTTAGGGTATATCAATATATATATATATATATATATATATATATATATATATATATATATATATATATATATATGTGGGATAATTTAGCAATGAGTAGTTTATTTTTATTGTTTGTTGTAGAATATTAACCTCCTTGGATTATTGAACTGAAAATAAAATTGTAAGATGTCACTTTTAAAAAAATGTCATTGTAATCAAGATAGTAAGATGTAATATGTTTTTTGTGACTAAATGAAAATAAAAGAAGCAGTATAAAAGTGAGTGTTTCGTCTCAAATTCTTGAAATATCACCACAACTTTGGGGGCTCGTCCGGGATAGCCCAAAATTTGAGGCGAGACGAAGACTAAAGATTTGAAGATTTATTACAACGTTTTGGAATTTGGATATGAAAATTTATTTTAAGGACTGAAAACTTAATGAGTTCAAATAAGCTGTCATTTTGCACGACTAGAAAAAGAAAGACTAATAGTAGTTTGACAACCACAATGCCGCCGAAGAAAGATGTAAAAGAAAGTGAAGATGAAGGGCAGGAGTTAGATATACAGATTTCATTTAAAGACTTGGAGAAGTCAATGAACATTTTTACTGGAGATGATACCTATCCTATTGAGACATTTATTGACGAATTTGAAGATACTGCCGAAATTATGAAGTGGACTAAAGTCGAGAAGCTGGTCTATGCAAAGAGACTTTTAGACGGTACTGCCAAGCTATTTTTACGATCTTTGGGAAGAGTAAAGGACTACGCGAGTTTGAAAAAGTCACTTAAGGAAGAATTTGGCCCCAAGATTAATAGCGCAATCATACATAAGAAACTTGCATCGCGTAAGATGAAGAACGATGAAACTTACCAACAATATTTCCTGTCTATGAAAGAATTAGCACTTCATGGCAAGGTTGAAGACGCTGCGCTGATTGAGTATGTCATTGATGGTATTCGTGATTTAGAGACCAATAAAGTTATTTTATATGGCGCTACAGGCATAAAGGATTTTCGCAGGAAGTTAGAAATCTACAGTGCTTTTAGAACGAAGGTGCCTAACAAATCGGCACAGTCTGGCCAATCACATGGGCATCATTCAACCCGTAAGATGACTCATGTAAAAAGATGTTACAATTGTGGCGAACTGGATCATCAATCGCCCACCTGTCCAAAGGGAGTCAAATGCTTTAAATGCAATGAATTTGGTCACAAATCAACTGAATGTACAAGCAAACCTAAGAAGACGCTGAAAATTAGAAATAAAAGTGAAGAAGAGAAAGTACCCTACAAAAAGATAAAGATTAATGGTAAAGAATTTGTTACCTTAATAGATACTGGAAGTGATATTAACCTCATAACAAAATCAGAATTCGAGAAGGTTAAAGAGGGAATTAAAGATTATAAAACAGAATCAACGTGTATAACAGGAATAGCCGAAAAACAAATTCTTACTGAAGGAATGTTTACAGCCAATGTTCAAATTGACAATTACTACACAGATGTCAAGTTTCATGTTGTAAAAGACAACGAGATACCGGTAACTTTACTGATTGGAAATCCTATCCTTAAAGATTTCGAAGTGTGTTTCACTCCTGAAGGTGTCTTTATACAAAAGATTATGCATCTTACACTTCTAATGGAGGAAAAGGATAATGAACAAGAATATGATATAGGAGATTCTAAATACGCGGAAAAGATTCGTAAGATGTGTGAAGAGTACAGACCTAGTGAAAAGAAGAAAGAAAGTAACGTTGAATTGAAAATAATACTTACCGATGAAGAACCAGTTTTTCAGAATCCCCGACGTTTGTCACCCTTAGAAATGAATGCCGTGAATATGCAAGTAAAAGAATGGTTAGACAAAGGAATAATCAAACCTAGCAAATCTGATTTCGCCTGTCCTGTAGTTCTGGCTGATAAAAAAAGATGGGTCACGTAGAATGTGTATAGATTATCGACGATTAAATAAAAAGGTAATTAAAGAAAGATTTCCCCTACCTATAATAGAAGACCAGATAGACAAGTTGAAGGAGGCCAAAATGTTCACGTCTCTTGATCTGAAGAATGGCTTTTTACATGTGAAAGTACACAAAGATAGTCAAAAGTACACCTCATTCGTAATACCCCAAGGCCAGTACGAATTTCAAAGAATGCCTTATGGATTATGTACAGCGCCATCTGTGTTTCAAAGATTTATTAACGATATCTTCAGCTATCTAATTACCGATGGGACACTACTAGTGTACCTTGATGATTTAATCATACCCTCGATAACAGAAGAAGAAGGAATAAGTAAGCTAGAGAAAGTATTTAAAAGAAGCGAAGAATTCGGTCTAGAGTTTAATTGGAAGAAATGCCATTTTTTAAAGAAGGAAATCCAATATCTTGGATATATTATTTGTGACAACGAAGTAAGACCGTCTCCAGAAAAGATTAAAGCTGTAGCGAATTTCAAGAAACCAAACAATATAAAAACTGTGCAGTCATTCCTTGGACTGACAGGGTATTTCAGAAAGTTTATAAAAAACTATTCCCTGATTGCAAAACCGATGACGGATTTGTTAAAGAAAGATGCTGTATTCAATTTTGATGAAAGGTGTGAGAAAGCTTTTATAGAATTGAAACAAATATTGTGTAACTCACCAGTTCTCCGAATATTCAATCCAGATTTAGAGACAGAATTACACACCGACGCAAGTACTGACGGTTATGGAGCTGTTCTTCTACAAAGAAGCCCTAAAGACAATCAATTTCACCCCGTGCACTATATGAGTAAAAAAAACAACTCCAGCTGAAAGAAAATACCATAGTTATTACTTAGAAATTTTAGCTAT